ATGTATCAATCTGTTGTTTAAGTTAATTACTTTGAGAACCAGTGCCATAGAGAAATTCAAAACTCTATACTTTTCTTCCAGGCATCGTCAGAACTTCAAATTTTTGAATAAGACACGAGCCTGTAACGCTATTTTTGCCCTTTTTTTGTATCTAAAACTAAAAGACTACTTTTTTGTGATTCAAATTCTATTGTGCTTTCAGCAGTAAAAATTACTTAGATAAAAGAAAAAGTTTTGAAATGCTACTTTAGCACTTAATAAGTATAAGAAGTTGTATAGGAAAAATGTTATAAGCGTGTAAAGTTTAAGTTGTAAAAAACTATGAATCTCAGTATTCTGGACAGGTGCTACAGCGGACTATTTAGTAGTACATTTTAGCAATATTAAGATGCATGGAGACAAGAGTTCTGCACAGTCATGCACCTAATTTTTTGAGATCAGTCTAATGAACAAAAACTGTAAGAAAATATACCTACATTGTCTTCAGTACGCTAAGTAAGTAGCCTATAATTGTGTGGTCAAAAATGTGAAAAAGCCGGGTTGTTAAACTATGCATCATAGAATTACAACCCAAAAACTAAAAAATTATCTTTTTGTCATATAAAGAAGATATTTATTGTGTTTTTTTTTCCATAATTTCTTAATATCATATGATTTAAAAGAATAGACGACGATTCACACCCTAAAGTGGTGCTGTTGACGTTACTTACTAAACGTATAATGATACGCGGTGTGAACACATTTGATAATTTTAAATCGTATGAAAGCTCGTAGCAAAATTTGAACTTAATCCAACGTTTAAGTGCACGATTCTTCGTGGATTTTTTAATTCATTACATTCACACAAGTTTATTTAATAATGTGATACTAGACGTATTTCGAATGCAGGGTCACATAGCGTACACATATCTTTTAATTTTGGACGTTCTGAATTGAAAGTTGATTAAGTACCCGAAATGCTCGATTGTCTCGTGACTCATGACGCGTTCATCAAACCGTACGTTAGCTGCACAAAAATATCAAACTCTTTAATACCATAGCCCTATAAGTAGTCATGCAAAGTCTGTTGAGGGGTCTGAGCCAAGAGTACCAAAAAAGAGTGATGCTATCCCTTCCACTTCTAGATTTTGCACAATTAAGAAGCAGATATAACACAAATACTTATTTTATCTGATAAAGCATTAATTTAATCAAAAAAATTTGAGCAAAATCAATTTAATAAATTTTACCATTGATTTTTACAAGATTGAGTTACGTCCCAAGTCGCATGTCTACATTGCTTGTGCTGAGCTAAAAGAAATTATTACCAGTACAGTAAGAATCACAATAAAATTATGCGCAAATTGATATTAACAATCATTAGAAAAAAAATTTGAAAACAATGAATCTAACTGGAAATGGAGAAGCTGAAAAAATCACTGAATCAGTATACAAAGCTGTTTTTAGTAGTTGCAGTGCGATGTTTATTAAAATCATCGTTCGTAGATATGTAGAATATTGTCATATGTTAATTATATTCCCTTAGAGTTTGTCAATGACACTGTTGAACCCGGAAGAAAATAAGTCAATCTAAATATTGTCGTACTTTATCACAGTTATGCAATTCTGTTTATCATAGAAAAAATTCAAGAAAAACCAGGAACAACAGCGACGACACCATTCAATATATTAATTTTTAATTTTCCAATTCGATTCAAGATACTTATTTGTTAAAAAATATAATTTTAAAATAAAAGAACTTATATTCATTCAATAAAAATTGCTATAGGTCCTCTTACATTCTATTAAATTGAGAAACTGTGGCACCATCTTCGTACCTAGTGGGGCGCAAATTCTCAAGTTACATTTAAATTGTCAGTACTCACAGAATACTCAGAAAATTTTTTTTTTTTTAAATTAAGAGACATTTCTATGGCATCTAGTTTCTTAATTTTTTTTAAGAGTGTTGTGTTATAAGAATTAAAAAAAAAAAATTGTTACCTTAGAATTTAAACTTGCATTGATAAAAAAAATACAAATTTTAAAAAATCAAAAACATTTCAATATTACGTCATGCATCCACCTTTCAAGAAAATATGTACGAGGTTTCAGATCAAAATATTTAAAGAGAAAATAGAAGACGCAATTTATTAAAATAGCATTAAGCCATGCTGTGCTGCAGCACATGTTTTGGGCGTTTTTTTTTACAAATTCGTTCATAACTCGGATAAAAACACGAAAACCTTGGGGCCCTAAAGTGCTCATTTGTTAAAAATTTTACAAGCTTTACCGACGTATGTCGCTTGTTACAAGAATTTGCCTGACACTGTTTATTCTAACAATAAACTTTAAGTAAAAATAGCTTCCAGGTTATCCCCCCCATACGCTGTCAGATTTCTCTTGTTTCTTACTTAGAAACTAATTTTAATTAAATATGTCTCAAAACAGGTCCCAAACCAGGTTCCATAACAAATTACAAATAGGTCTTCAAACAGGCCTTGAAACAGGCCTTAAATGAGTCTCAAAACAGATCTCAAAAAGAGTCTTAAAACAGATCTTAAAATAAGTCTCTAAATAAGTCTTAAAATAGGTTTCAAAATAAACCTTAAAACAGATTTCAAAACGAGTCTCAAACCTAGTCTTAAGACAAGTCTTAAAAAAGGTCTCAAAATAAGTTTTAAGTTAGGTCCCAAAATAGGTTTTAAAGGAGGCCTCAGAACAGATCTCAAAGCGGTTCCTAAAATAAATCTTGAAACGGGTTTCATAACAAGTTTCAAAACAAGCCTAAAAATGTGTTGCATAACCGATGCTTAAGTGCTACTAAAGTTCTGACAAAGTACTGTCTAAGTATTGCACAAGTACTGCTCAAGAGCCGCACATGGGCTGCATAAGTACTCCCCAAGTGCTGCATAGTACTTCTAAAATACTTACGAATTTTCTAAATAAAGGAAACGTTCCTAGAAGTACCACTCGACGAATGATTTAATTGCACAGATTTACCACGGATTCACCACTTGAATGATACCAATGTCCCTTAAAAGTTTGGCAACACTAATACGAAATCTGTAACGCTGCATTCATTCCCTTGCACTGCTTAAAAATTACACTGTTGCTGCAGAACTGCCACTGAAGTATCTATAAAATATCGAAGAAAAGGGACCCAATAACAGCCTAAGTGCCACTTCAGTACAACTCAACCTACGACATAGTCTAGCACAAGTAATAAGTAAGAGTCGTTTCTCCACACAACTTCTGTTAAAATGCTGTTTCCGAGTTGTTTGAGTGCCCAGCAAGTACTGGCCATTGTAAGAGCGTAATTCAAATTAAATATTTATAGTGCTTCTCAAGTTAACGTTAATGTAAGATTTATCATAATAATGGGCGCTGTTATGTTAAATTGTTATCTTTTTTCGTGTAACCGGTTGTTTGAAATAATATCCTTTTTCATGTAAGCAAGTATCCCTTTACATATAATAACCACCCTGTTTATCATTAGAAAGGAAAATGTGCGTCAAAATCTAAATTTATGGTTCGAATTATGAAGATTGTGTATGAAACATGGAATATAACCAGCCTACAAATAGAATGTATCTGTAAATTGATGTCGATAGCCCCTGTGTTTAGAGTTGAAAAGACAATCCAATTTTCTTAACCAATATGCAGTGAGTGGATGACTTTTTTAAAATGATCGTTACTTTATTATGCCTTATAAAATCATAACGATTACCCTTGCATCTCATCAATACTGATTCAGCCTTCAATATTATACGCAGGTTATTTCAGCAAAAATGCTTGTGAAAAAAGAAATTTATTTCCTTAAATTTAATTGTGATTCAAATAATAACAATTTTGATTAATTTCTTATTAAAAGTCAGCTTTAAAAATCCAGTATGGAATCATTCTCCACACCCAATTTAGGAATATATCTCTTAAAAGCTGTTTTGCTCTTAACTGATCACTTGGTATTTATATATATATATATAATAAATTACAGTATTACATAAATAACATAGTAAGTGTCCCATCGACATATCGACAAGATAACTTTGCTTTTTAAAACTTTACATTTATAAATATATAT